TCCGTGGGGGCGGCTGCTTCGGTGCAGAGCGCGGGGACGCAGGCGGTGGGCCAACTCCGGGGATCAGGCGCGGGTCCCCGGTTCCCATCCAAGGTGCCAACGCACCCACCACTGCAGGAGGTGTCACCACTGCTTAGCGTCTGCAGTTGCTCCCCCGTCCTGTGAACCATGCAACCCCCCCGCACCCCCAGACAGCGACACTGTTCCTTCCTGACTCACCTGCGCTGATCGTGTTCCCCAGAAACCATCCCAAGAGCACGCAGTGGCTCTTGATTCCATCCGCTCTGTATTGACAGCACCTGTCACTCTGGTCCTTCCTTGTCTACACCACCAAATATTTTTAACTGTTTACTAAAACCGCTGCAGCGCCCTCTCTGAGACCCATTACACGTGAAACCTTGACATTCAGCTGCAGTTGCGGAAAGATACAAAGTCGCCTTCGCCGTTGCTATTTCCGAAGCGGCCCCACACATACTCCAGGTTTTTAAAAGGAGCCTTGATACATTAGTTGCAAAGAGATTGGAAAGAAAAAGTTCTGGAAAACCAAAACATGCTTAGCCCTCGAAAAGCAGGCCCAGGCCATCATTGGGTCACCGGCTCCAACTTCCATGCTGGGGTTCCGCCGCGTCACCATTTTCAATTGTCTCCACGTTCTGTCCCCGCCCCAGCGTAGGAACATGATCCAGTGGTAGACACGGCCCAGTGGGACAGGTCACACTGTTCTGAGAACTGGTAGTCGTCCAGATGTCATTATCCCTGGATCGTTACCAGCCGCTCACTGGAGAGACACCGGTGCCCCCTACCCCTGCTGACATCCCCACAGTGGCCCTGACTTCTCCCCTCCCCAAGCTTACTGTCTGTTCCTTGAGGTCTCCCCACCCCATCGCCAGGACGTTCTCATGCGTTTCTTTTTTTTTTAAGCTGGCCAGGGTTGGTTTCTGATGATTGCACAGGGAAGAACCTTAATGAGTATCTGAATAACATGGAGTTATTAATATGGAAAATGCAGAACGCAATGTTCCCGTTTCCACTGTATAATTAATCTCCCCAAAACTCAGTGGTTTAAAACAACTAAAACATTGTTTCTCGCGATTCTGTGAGCTAGTGGAGCAGTTCCTCTGCGGGCGTAGACTCACTCTATTGTGTTGGGCTTGCAGGAGAGCTGGGCGGGAAGCCACATCGCCTGGTCACATGCCTGGCAGTGGGGCTGGCTATGGGCTGGGCCGTCTTGGTCTCCCTGTGGCCTCATCCTCCAGGAAGCTAGCCTGGTCTGCACGTGGCCCTCTTCTGAGAGTAATGACAAGCTGGACAGCCTGGGTCACACATCCACCCCTGCAGTGGGGACAGGGCGGGAGGCAGAGGTTGACAGCCCACGAGAAGCCCATGCAACAGGAAAGAGCTGACTTCCCAGAAGAAGGAGAGGGGACGGGTGAAACTGCGCGTGCCCATCTCCGCACGCGTGCGCAGTAAGAACAGGGCGGGACACCTGTGAGGCACAGAGTTGACCCGCAGGGTGGAGCTGACCCTGAGACCGTGCATACAGGCACAGGCGCTGACCGGAGGGACTGCCTGTGTGCCCGGGACGTAAAGGCTTCTCCTTCCCCAGGGAATCTTCTGTTCACACAGCACCGAAGGACAGCCCAGGGGCGTGACGCCGTCCAGTGGTTCCGCCGGTGGAATCGGGACCAATGCGCAGAGGTTACAAGGTACAACTGTGGCAAATGTCATCTACCCGAACTACTTTCTAAGCAAGGCGGAAATTTCAGGAATGGCCTAAAGGGCACACAGAAGAAATGAGCAGGGCAGGCCCCCAGGGGTCCCCAGAGGCCAGGCAGCACGGCCCTGGCCCTGGACTTTGGTAGGGGGTCCCCAGGGAGAGCCTCTCCGTGAGGGAGACTGGGGAGCCCACAGGAAAGCGGTCGGACGCTGGGCCGCTGCGAGCTCGCAGAGAAATCGGAGTCCCCGCCAGGAACCCCGCTAACTGCTCCGTCTGGCCGGCGGTCGGGGAGCGGGGGAGCGGGGAGCCCGCAGGCCGGCCTCCGCCCTCGGGTCACAGCCGAACTGCCTTCCTCCCTGAGCCCCTGGCACTGGCACTCCCTCAGGTGCCATCCCATCCATGCCAACAGCCTCGTCCTTCTGAGCCGAGGGAGGCCATCTCCCGAAGGTGTCCTGGCCTCCACCCTTCCTTCCGACCGGAAGCTCTTTTCATGCCACGGGTGGGGGCCCACGTCTCCCGTTCCCCCCACTCGCTGCTCCCTCCGCCAGCCACCTCCATCCCGTTCGTCTCTGCGCTGTGCCAGCATCTCTCTCTCCCCCCAACAGACGGGCCCAGGAGTCCCCGATCCGCCATCTGCTGCACCCTCTTTCTAGGCCCACCTCCCAGTGTAGAAGCTGAAAACGCTGTGATCTGTGTATTTTCTCAGCCCTCCCTGCAGCCAGAGGGCGGCTGTGCAGCCCGAGCTCTGCTGAGCGGACGCTCTGAGCCCGGCCGTGGAGTCGGGCCGCGGAGGACCAGGAGGGTCTCTCCAGCTGACATGCCGGCTTCAGGACGGAGACCCTGGAGGGGCGCTGGCCGCCGGGCTTGGTGCTCGGGGAAATGCTGCCTGAGAGCCAGCGGTCGGAAACACAAGCCACAGTGTCTAGGACCTCTGAGGGGCGGCGGGGTCATCTCTGTTGGTCTCTTCCTCTCAGAGCTATGAACCTGTTGTTCCAGAGATTTCGGAAGCTGCCCAAGCAACTTTTAAATATGTCTTTTCTCCTAAAACTAGCTGTTGGTTTCGCCGACAAGCAAGTTAAGCGTTTTCAGACGCGGGACTGAGCGGGCTCCTCCCTCCCATCCTGTCAGGTGGCCTTCCCCTCCACCCCCAGGGGTGACAATGCTTTTAATTCCCGTGGGCGAGGTAGACCCAGGCACTGGGACCAGGCTGGTGTCTGTCTCCCAGGCCTGGCCTGGGTGGTACAGAGCTAGCTGGGGGTGCAGCCCGGCCCCCAGGAGTGAGCTTCAAGGGCAGAGCTCCGAATGGGTAGCTGGAGGCAGCAGGCCACCTGGAGCCTCAGCAGCCATCATGGGCCCGGGGGGGCCTCATGGTCGGGATGCCTGGCTTGGATCTTCTCGGTGGAGACGGGGTGCTGGGCTCGACCAGACCGCACAGAGGAGCCGTGCACACAGATCTTCCTCTGGGCTCAGGTCGGGGATGCACCACCCTCTTTTCTAACCTCAGAGTCCCCTCTCTCCTCACACCATCGGCACAAGGGGCCACGAGCTGTGACCTCCTCTGTGTGCCACGGCCCCCCCACCTCCGTGCCCCGTCCCGCGGGGCTGGACCGCCTGCCGGCTCGCCCTGCGTGCTCATGTCTCGCCGTGCCCCTGCCAAGCCCCTCCCCTGCATTTCCATTCCCCCAGCCACAGGGTCACAATGTCACGGTCATCCTTGAGCCTGGGCGCCCACGTGCAGTCACTCGCTGGGGCACCGACGTCTATCAGACGCGGTCTCGTGTCCATCCCTTCCCTCGTCGCCTCGCTTGGGGCTGACCAGCCACAGTGTCCCTGGTGGTGACAGGCCAGCTCCTTCTACGGGGACGAGACCGCGACCGAGTGTTGGTTTTACTGGATCGTTCCCGATAGACACGGCCTCGCTTCTCGGGGCCGTGCCAGCCACAGGGAATCAAGAATATATATACCCAAAGCCCGGGCCACAGAGCGGCGCTCGCC